GCGTAAGAGAAATATTGTTGTATGGCAGTATGTGCCATTGTTGCTTTTTGCATTTGTTACAATAATACATACAGAAATTGATCTGCGGCATTTAAATTAAAATATATACCAAAAACAGATGTCTTTGTTTAACCTACAGGATAAACAAGGACATTTATTGTATAGGCCGCGGACTAAGCGTACGGTATAAATATGTAGCTGTACGGTAACCTATGTAGCTGCGTTCCGGTTTCACTGCAAGTATTAAAAATCTATAATTTACGTTACGTGATATAGACCACCATTTGAACCGTTTTCACCAACGTCAATTATTAATCGGCCGTGGAACTAATTGCGTTTGCTGTTTGATGAAATTCTTTGTATATGATACATTCCAACCCAAGTTATAATGGCTTTATTCCTTCAAAAATTATTACATGAAAATCATTATATCACAAAATTTACTAAATCTAATGATATATGTATCATCTGTATAAAAGATTTGATATCAACAATTGTGGCACCAAGTTAAACTCTGTTAATGTTTTTATTAAATCTAATGATATATGTATTATCTGTATAAAAGATTTGATATCAACAACTGTGGCGCCAAGTTAAATTCTACTACAAAATAAAAAGTAAAACCTAAGTGATACTATCTTTATTATTTACTTAATCCAAATGGTACTGTCTTTAATTTTTATACAATGAAAAAATTTAATTTAAATAGAAAAATTTTTCATGTAAAAACACTTGACGCTGCTAGATCTCGATATAATAACATGATAGTATAGTAGTAAAATATGAATGTAAATAAAAATAAGAATATAATATTTAGAAAAATAAACATAAATAAGAAGCATATTATTATAATAAGAAAAATCAAAATCATATTAAAAAATATGAATATCTAGAAGAATAAGAAAAATAAAAAGCATCCCCAATGAGAGTCAAAGTATCTAGCATGTGTATATATGTGTATGTTTTTCTTACTCGATCTCTATATAAAACTTGATCAGTTCAGCCGTTATTGAGATCCGATAACCTCAATCTGCCGCAACTCTTCGGTTCGTATAAAGAAGGCACGGCAGTGTCGCTGCGCGTAGCTTAGCGCCGAGACACTACCGTGTCTCCAGATTTTCAGTACTGACAATAAATTTTGGAACACGGTCTATACGCAGTCGGGAAAGCCGAATTTTAGAAGGGGAGGGGGGCCAACGTCATGCGCATTCGCCTTTTTTTCGCATTCTCCTTTATTTATATTGACTACCAAACGTCCGGAATGGACTACCAAACACCACCAAACGACCACCAAACGAATGATAATGGTTATTTTTAGAATTTTAGTAGTGGGGGGGACAACTTTACACAGCTGAGGAGCATGGGCTGAGAAAGTCGCTTCGCATGGAAAGTCGAATGCCCCTTGGCAGGGGTGGAACTCTCTTCGCGTGGAAAGTCCTTAGATAAGCAAGGAAGGGTATAGAATAGTATTTAATATTGTATATAGCAGAAATAAGACATTATTTTTTCAAATTTTTTAACGAATAACGAACGATGGCTAAAACCTGTTGGAGGTTACTCAGAGTCATGACCTTGACAACATATGTCAAGATTAAGGTCATTGGGGCTGGATCTTCTAATCGATATTTTTAACCTATGTAGTATTTACAAATATATATACATATATTTGTAAATACTAAACAAGTAAAATACCGTAAAACATAATCAAACATATTCGATTATAAAACATAATAAAATAACATTGTAGATACACATCATTAATGCAAATTTGAAGAATGTTTATTGTCAAATATAATAAAGAATATTACAAATCGATTGCCTACAGCATCGTTTGCCTACATCATATTTGCCGACAGTTCGTTTCCGCATAAAAATTTTGCCTACAATTCAATTGCCTACATGCACTTTTGTGCACAATTCCAGAAACGAAGTCACATTTGCCTACATGTATTATTGCTTTAAAGCTCGATTGCTTACATGTATTACAGTATTACCAATTGCCTACAACTCGATTGTCCACATGTACTATTCTCTGCTTTAAAAACACAAATTCTGTTTTAAAACATAAATTTTCTGCTCTATGTAGACACACATTTATTGTTTAAAACAAATTCTTTGCTTTAAAATACAAATTTTCTGCTTTAAAAATACAAATTATTTTCTTACATAATTTAACCTTAATTTTATATTTGTGCATAAAAGTGCTTGTATATAGGCAATCAATCTGTAAGTAATAATTCATGCACTGAACCAAAACTGTACGTAAATACAATAAAATATTCATTGAATTATGAAAAAATAATGAAAATTGGTCCAATGAATTCTCATAATGATTTAGATTATAAAACTATTACTAGAATTCATTGCAAGAATGAATATATAGTTGTATAAATGAATCCAGTTTTATTGTAGCAATGAATTTACTACATTAAGTCGGACAATGATTAACAAATTCATTGGACCAAAAATGAACAAAATTTTTTTCAGTGTATAGGCGATAATACATATAGGTAATAATATAATACATGTGGGCATATGTGACTTTGTTTCTGAAATTTTTATTTGTGCACAAAAGTGCATATAAGCAATCGAGCTATAAAAAAATCTTACAAAGAGAAAGGAACCCAACTGTCCCCCTCTGATTTTAACGAGCTTTTAGTATGTTACTCTCTAGACAAAAATAAGGGACACGTTTATTTATATGTGCCCATACGCACTTTTAGGGGATGAAACACCCTTTAGAAAAGAATCAGTTTTTCTTTTTCGAAGCGAATATCGCCGAAACTGTAAGAGATAGAAAAAAATTTCAGAATGAAAATTGAATGGCATTAAGAGTATTTTAGAAACATAATAAAAGAATTTTTTTTCTTTATAAATAAATAATTAAAAAAATTTTTTTAATTAAAAGTGCGTAAGGGCACGTATAAAAGAAACATGACGCTTGTTTTTGTCTGGAGAGTAACATACTAAAAGCTCATTAAAATCGGAGGGGGACAGTTGAGTGCCTTTCCTTATTAGTTGTAGGAATATATGAGTGAAATTTGTGTGTTATAGATTGATAGTTAGAACATAGATACATATGCAGAAGATTGATATTTACTACATAAAATTCGTTTCTTAGTTTTTCCAGATAGCATCATCTGGAAACAATAAAAGCAATGTCGCCGAATTTTTAACATCGTTTATGTTTGCGTCTATAAGCATCTTATACATGTTTATAGCCAACTATGTTGGACAAAGTATTATTGACCACAATAATCACGTATTTGTTACTGCGTAAGAGAAACATTTTTATATGGGAGTACGTGCGATTATTGATTTTTGCATTTGTTACAACAATAGATATAGGAATTGATCTCTTGAATTTAAATTAGAATATATGCCAAAATTAATTAATTAAGAATTCCTATCTTAAGTAAGCGATCTGCTATCTCCATATTCAATTCTGTAGGTACAACGTTCAGTGGTATAAAACCCCATTACATGTACAAAGAATGATACTATTTATACTGCAAAGAAGAGCCAAGGCATTTTCATTAAACCTCGGTGGAATATTTAATGCATCCATAGAGGGTTTTGCCACGGTAATATTTTGTAGGACATTTTAGAATCCATTTACATACATACTGATACAATAAAAAAGTATATTTATAATTGCAGCTAATAAAGGTCTCCGTATCTTATTTTACAGTCATGCATTCTACACGATGACAAAATGAATATCTATTAATTTATTAAAATATTATTATATTAAAGTTATTTGAATTAAAATAATGATACTGTTTTTGCACTGCATGAGGGAAGAGGGAGATTCAAGAAGCTTCAAGGACTGGACATAGGAATGAGCTCCTGAAAGCCGGGGCTCCGGAATACTGTAGTAGCAGTTCAGTAAGAAGCAGGGAAACCGGAAGGAGGCTCAAGAAAGTAAAATGGCCGGTGTTCACAAAAGAATTGAGATTGTCGGGACGACAATCTATGAGAAGGAGGGCAGTGTTACGCCCGTTTCACCTCGACACCCTTTAAGCGCCGAAGTTCACGTTCCACGTGAGAGGAAGATCGCGTTGGCGACGAAGGGGCTTGTTGAAAAAAGTGATCTGGAAAGAGTCGCGAATACGAACGGACGTGTTTCTCTCTGCTCCGAGTATCTTTCGAATTTTGCTGAAACCTTTGTCTTACTGGGGTACATAGTTGAATAAACGTTACTTGTTTCTTCTTTTAAAATCGTGTTCTTATTTATAATACGCGCCTCAAGAGCGGAGACATCGACGTGAGACGTGCGGGCGTAACATTTTGCATATTGTGAAATTTTGCTTCTGGATCAAATTTGAAAGCCCATATGGTATCGGATAATTATGGTCCTTCTTTGTTTACAATGTACATGCGTGTTAAATAGACATGTGCACTACATGGTCATATGTATCACATGGTCATGTGTGCAATGTGCTGTGTGCAATGTAATCACGTAAGCAATGAGTTATGTGCAAAACAGTTGTGTGAACAATGCGTTGTGTGCAACATTAGTCGTTTATGCAATATGATCGTATGCAAACGAAGTTGTAGGCAATTGTTTTGTAGGTAAACGAGATTCCCTTTCTTTTGTACTAACTATACTCCAAATATAAACAGGGCATGTTTAAATATTTTATATTTATATAAATAAGATTTTTTGAACATAGAATTTATTACTATATAATGCGATAAATATTTATTTTAATTAATATATTTCATTTCAACATTTACAGTTCATCCAGTATATAAATATTTATTTATATAATATTTCAAAAGATTTCATTGATAAATAACATACGTTAAAAAATTAAATAAAAGAAATTAAAAGCAAAAAGTATTATTAATATTGGATACATACATATGTACTCAATACGACCTATGCGTTGGAATCACTATAATGGTAGCAACAGGTACAATGCTCATCTCATATCTTCAACATACCTGTGGAATGTTTAAAATTGCTAGGTACGAATGTGGACATAGCAGCATAATTTTTTTAGTTGTTATATAAAATTTAGATAAAACTCTTGTTTAGGATACTTCGAATCAATCACCTTAATATATGGTGTCAAAATCATGATCCCGAACACACGTGAGATGCTATTCTGTAACTGTTTTACAGGCCTACTGACAATTACAGAATAAAGACCCTGAACACTCAGCAAATAACCATAAAACGGTTCCAAAACTGTTGCGTTCTACTGAACAATGACTCACATGAGTACAAAAACGTAACAACGAAGATGAAAGTGGCGACGACACTATCTACGAGTAGCTTGAGCACAGTCACTATTTTTTATAATTTGATTTTGAATGCATATTGTTTGTCATTGCACCTCAAAGTTCTATATTTACTAAATGGCATCAATGAAGCATAAGTCGCAGCATAGATTTTTGCATTTCCAGGATGAAAAATAAAAGATTCTGATTAGTCGATTTTCTTATGCATTATGCTGCGTTATACAATAGTGTAGGATATTTCTTTGTAAGAATGACCATTCTCTTTGAGAGAGTGAGATAATAGCTTTATTGCCAGGAAAGGCGGCGGGATCTCCGGGGATAGTCACAGGATTTTCAAATCAAATATAGTTATGTACAATATATATCACAAGTTTATTTTATATTTAAATCTTTACAGTATTTGAACGTGAGAAATGGAGAACAAACAACAATAGGCGCGACACGCGACGGAACGCGATATCGACTGGCTTGTCTCGGCCAGTACCGAAATCTTCTCGTGGTTGAGTATCAAGAGCTCTCGCTTCTCTCAGACACTACGACGTGTTATCGTTTGCTCTTATGCTTCAGATCTGAAATCTGGACGTTATTACTCCGATCCGCACGCTTGCTCCGAAATGGAAAATCATAGAAATAATGGCGCTCAAAAGTGATATTGTAGATGCAGCCACCATGGATGCAGCGCACGCATGATCGATATTTCGATATATTGATTCTCGTGACTATTACTTTGGAAAACGTACATTTATTTTTTACAATAATTGTGCTGCAATCCACGTTATGCTAATACTGCAGAGAAAATTTCCCATTTTTTTTACCTACATATGGGGAAGAGAAAACTTCGCTCTTTTTTCTCCATCAACAAATAAATATAACATAATTCAAAACCTATTTTTCATTGAAAACTAAAATTTAGTATGGTTATATTTTTCGAAATCCAATCTCTGCTTATAGAGCGAAACGATGTCTACAATTGTACGCTTCCATACGTGTACTTAGTACAAATTCAGTCAAAAACTTATTTTTTAAATATAACATATGGTGTCAAAAAACTACTATTTATAAAACTTTTTTCTTAATAACTTTTTAATGAAGAACGAGCGAAAGCTAAAACTTTTTGACTGTTGTGATTGTTACTTAGCAGAATATCTTTGAGAACATGTGTCAAGGTCAAGGTAACTGATGCGGAGTTCCACTAAACAAGAGTTACTAAAATTGATCTTTATGCAGTGCATTATATTAAAAGAAGACAGTATGGAGGTGTTTTAGTAAAAGAATTGTATTACTCAATAAATTACTATTAAAAAAACATATTTGCAGCTATCGTATTAAGCACGCATTAAACAATGATATTCCACAAAACACTGTGATAAAAAATAAAATTTTGATTATCAAAGGTATAATTTGTGCCGTAGACATTCATCGTCAAGCTATGAAGTATGTATCTGTGTTGTTCATAGCATACGATACATTTACTAATATTTACTAATGTCTTTGTTTTTAAGATTATCGAAGCATTTCATCACCACGTTCGAAATAATAATGTCTTGTATCACAGGATGTCTAGTAGTTTGTTTTAGTTTTAATATGTTTCGAGTAAGTTTACGGTTTCCTGTAAGAATATATGAAAGTTGCATTGTCATATTATTATGTATTATTAATAAAAGTAATAAATCAATGCTACATATAAATCCTAAGCAAAAGCCACTAAATAATAGATGTAAATGATGAATTCAAAATTATATATACATATATTTGTAAATGCCATAAGAAGAAAAATAACATAAAACATAACCAAACATATTCGATTATAAAACATATATAGTAACATTGTAGGTACACATCATTAATGCAAATTTGTAGAATGTTTATTGTCAAACAATAAAGAATATTACAAATCGATTGCCTACATCATATTTGCCGACAGTCCGTTTGGCAAAAAATTTTTGCCAACAGCTCGATTGCCTACATGCACTTTTGTGCACAATTCCAGAAACGAAGTCACATTTGCCTACATGTATTATTGCTTTAAAGCTCGATTGCTTACATGTATTACTGCCTACAGCTCGATTACTTACATGTATTATTGCCTACAGATCGATTGCCTATAGATGTATTCTCTCTTTTAAAAATACAAACTCTATTTTAAAACATAAATTTTCTGCTTTAAATAAATTCTCTGTTTTAAAATAAATTTTCTACTTTAAAAATATAAGTTACTTTCTTACGTAATTTAACCTTAATTTTGTATTTGTACGCAAAAGTGCTTGTAGGCAATCGATTTGTAGGTAATATTACATATAGGCAAATTTAATTTCGTCTCTGAAATTTTTCTTTGTGCGCAAAAGTGCTTGTAGGCAATCGAGCTGTAGGTAATAATTCATGTAGAAAAAATATAATATGTGTAGGTAAATGTGACTTCGTTTCTGAAATTTTTACTTGTGCGCAAAAGTGCATATAAGCAATCGAGGTGTATTAAAAAAATCTTCATTGTAGAAATAAATAAAATTTGCGCGTTATAGATTGATAGTTAGAACATAGATACATATGCAATTGAAGATTGATATTTACTATGTAAAATTTGTTTCTTAGCTTTTCCAGATAGTATCATCTGAAAACAATAAAAACAATATCATCGAATTTTTATTATCATTTTTCTTTGCGTCCTCAAGCATCTTATACATGTTTATAGCCCACTATATCGGACAGAACATAATCGACCACAATAATCACGTATTTATTACTGTGTAAGAGAAATATTGTTGTATGGGAGTATTTGCGATTGTTGCTTTTTTCATTTGTTACAACAATACATAAATATAGAAATTGATCTGTGGCATTTAAATTAGAATATTTAAATTGTCAAAATTAATTAATTAAGAATTCCCACCTTAAGTATAAGCAATCTGCTATTTCTATATTTAATTCTGTAGGTACAACATTCAGTGGTATAAAACTCCATTACATATACAAAGAATGATACTATTTCTACTGCAAAGAAGAACCAAGAAATTTTCATTAAATCTCGGTAGAATATTTGATGCATCCATAGAGAGTTTTGCCGCGGTAATACAATAGTTTGTGGGATATTTTAGTATCTATTTACATACTGTTACAATAAAAAAATATGTTTATAATTGCAGTTAATAAAGGCCTCTGTATCTTATTTTACAGTCATAAATTCTATATGATGACAAAATAAATATTATTATCATAATAAAAATATAGTTAATGAAAAAAGAATGATAACTACGTTTAAAAAATAATAGATTTATTTCTTAACATAAAGTATAGATAGATATTTCTCCGTGTTACAGAAGAAGATTAAAAGTTATTTGAATTAAAATGGTGATACTGTTTTCATACTCCATACATGCACAATGTGAAACTTTGGTTCGTGATCAAACTTGAAAGCCCATATGGTATCGCACAATTATGGGTCTTCTTTGTTTGCAATGTGCATGCGTGACGAATAGTCATGTGCGCGATACGGTCATGTGTACCACATATGGTCGTGTGTGCAATGTGCTGTATGAAATGCAATCATATAAGCAATGTGCCATGTGCATTACAGTTGTATGAACAATGCGTTATGTGCAATATAGTCTGTACATATGATCGTGTGCAAACGAAGATGTGAATAATCGTTTTGTAGGCAAACGAGATCTCTCTTCTTCTGTACTAACTACAGTCCAAATATAAACAGCACAAGTTTAAATATTTTATATTTATATAGTAAATGTTTACTTTAGGGGACTCAATTCCAATGACCTTAACCTTATGTTGTTTTGAATTGAAGATTATAACTCTGAATGACATCCAACAGGTTTTAGTTGGTGGACGTTATTTGTTAAAAAGTTATTAACGAAAGAAGTTTAAGTAATAACGTCTTAATTACTGCTTAGGAACGCACAACTCCACGCGAAGCGATTCCTACCCCACCTCCTCCTCAGCTTGGGGGTACACGACTTTCATCCGAAGCGACTCCCAACCCACCTCTCCCCCTACTTGGGGCACATAATTTATTTGAAAAAAATATACATAATTTCTTTTATTTTAGAATGCATTTTATGGTTTAAACTATTATTTATTTAAATTAATTGTTATACTTTTTAATTAATTAAAAAATAACTTAATATAATAAAATTATCTTTTACCTTTTTACTAAAAATTCGGTGATCAAATTGGTATAGCGTCCGTCCCCGACAGTGAAAAAGGATTTCAGTGCGTAGTTCGCAGAATTACATATGTATATAAATTCACACAGAAATATATGTATAAGCACTAAGAATCGTTTTGATTAAATAAAGGCATTCTTTTATTTAATTAGATTTATTTTTATTGGCCAATTTGTATCTATCATACATGAGCGTTTATTTCAAATTAATTTAATTTAAAGAAATGATGTCGTACAAATCAACGTCTTCTTTTTAAAGGTAGAATATTTTAAAGTACGAAAATAAGTTCAAAATTTTCAAAAGAAATGATGTCGTATAAATCAATGTCTTCTTTTTACAAAGGTAGAATATTTTAAAGTACGAAAATATTTTTCCTGCTCACATGCAAAATAAATACTTCCTTGATTCAAATTTAATTATTTATAACTCGGTAATTTTTTTTAAAATGTGCAAAGATATTTTTTTGCTAAGAAAAGACGAATTAAGATATTATAATCTCAAGTTTCTACAAATAACTAAAATCAATATATGTATAACTGTTAAAATATATTACAGCAAATGTTTATATATCATCTGTAAGTAAAATCTTTTGCATGCTAAATTTATTATCGACTCTTAAAAATTATTACTCTTAATTCATAATTTTTATATTAACATATATAAATACATAAGTTCAAAAATTTCATTAATAATAAAAACAAAAAAATTAAGAAATAAAAAAGAAAAAGTATTATACAGTGAATAATCGAAATATAAACAAATAACTTACAAATCAGCATTCGACACTTGCTTGCTGAAAATATTAATTTTGTCAAACGCAGTTTTAAATTGTGTAATAAAGTTATGTATTAACTACTATTATTACTAATGCTATCATTTTCAATTTATGAACTTGGTTAGATAGATCAGAATATCGGAAAAAATTAAAGAAAAAAGATATTCTCTCGAAGTGTATCGGGCGAGTATGTAAACTAGACTGAAGTTCTGGCACTGAGAGAAAGAAAATGCGCCTGCGTAGCAAATAACTTATTTTCATGAGAAAATAACATCCGTCGAATTACCGGTAGTGCTGAATCAATAACGTAAAAATATTCGTAATTTGCTGAAAGAGTTAAATTCAGCGGCGTTAGATCTTATACAGCAAACTTTTACACAACCAATCATTATAAATTATAAAATTTAAAAATTATACCAGAAGACATGAGAATGAAAAATATTTCGTCAAATAGTGAAAAAATGGAGTAAGTATAATCTCAACGATTTTTTTCAGTCTTCACAGTAATACTTTGACGCTCAAAGAGAAAATGATAAATCCAGAAACTGAGTATAATAATCTCAATAAAATTCTATTGCTTGCTGTCGGTTTATGGCCTTATCAACAATCCAAATTTACTCAATTTCAGTTTATTTTCTTCTATGCCATTTTGTCAGCAGGTATTATATTTCAGGTAAAAAACAATATAAAATTATTATATAATATAAAAATTATTGCGTAACAATTTTTCATTTCAATTATTTATATCAATCCACATTATGCAATTTAATTTTTATATCGAAGGAGAAATTACAAAGTACTCGATATAGAAATGTCAATTGTAAGTCAATAATTATATGTATAAACATTTATTTGTATATGTAAGCGTTAATACATATCGTCTTTAAGAAATAATATATCGTTTTCTTAAAATTATATTTATATATGAAATTGTGTAAAACTAACTTTTTACAGTTGACACCATTAATAATATTAAAATGTACTTTAGACCTTGTAATAAAAGTGTTGTCATCCGTATCTTTCTTCATATTGTGTATGATAAAATATAATGCATTTCATCTTAATATTGAAATTGTAAGTTCATGACTTACCGAGTATCCGTTAAATAGAATTAACTCGTCTATAAAATAATTTTTTTTGCATAAAGTGTTTTTGATATACGAAGACAGTAGTGTATAAAATTAATGACATAATAGGTGAAGAACTTATTCATGGAGCTTCGATATGTACTCAGTGAGTTAAAGGATAAAAACGAGATTGCAATTATATACAAATATAGTTGCACTGCTAAACGTTACACGATTACGCTCACGGGTAAGATAATATTTATTAATTTTGTAATAATATTTTCAGTTGGTAAATATTCAAAAGTGATGCTCCCCTAAAAATCGCGGTTTCTTTTTCAGTATCTAATGAACAAAACTATAGTTATAAAAAGATATGTATACCATGTTATAAGAAGGGGGATTGTGGTTTTTGTGGAAAAAATTCAATAATTATGCATTTTTTACGGGACACCGCACCGATGACCTTGACCTTAACATATGTTGTCAAAATCAAGATTTTGAGTAATTTTGCCTTAACAACTAAATGGCGGTCTCTTATAGTTTCTGAAATATTTAGACTTAAAGGTCTAATTTTTATAATAAATCGTTCTATTTGTGTAAGAAATTTTCTGCTTTAAAATATGTTTTATGACTTTTCACGTGAAGCGACTTTCACCTCAGCTCCCCTTCTGCTTCAAGGGCATACGAAGCGACTTTCACTCCCCTTGACATGACTTTCGCTTGTCAAATAGTCGTACATCATCATGTATTTCTGAGTTTGATTCGTTTATATTGGCTACGTTTACACTGTGTTAATTTATCCTATACATTAAACAAAGACACCTATCACATAGGTCGCGGACTATGCGTATGGTGTAAACATAGCAATGAAAACGTTATTATTATAATATACTTACAATCACTATTCACTTCGTATACTCCCCATGTTGTTTCGCGAATTTATTCATATAGCACATAATTTCCAAAATCTTATTAATTATTTGATGAAAAGAAAGTGATAACTACAAAAGTGCAATGTGAGAACAATATAGTGTAAAAATAATTATTAGTGTATTGCTAATAAATTGTTAACAAAAATTTTTGTTTTATTTCATAATACATGCGTACAGTATCTATATATACATAGAACAATTTTAGATACTAATTGTAAGAATTTAAGTAACAAATTCTTTTTACTTCTTTTTAGTATTTGGAATTTGTGGAACGCTCATTCTTATAATAGCTCAAATTTGGTCGTTTAATATAGCTGATGTTAAAACAATGAACACATCTCAATCACATCATTTACTCATTATGACAGAGTACCTTGTTGATCAAGAAAAGTATTTATATTGGATTCTGTTACATATGTTCACAGTATTATGTATTGGATCGATTATAATGTTGGGAATAGGTACAATGCTCATTACATATATTGAGCATATTTGTGGAATATTTAAAATGGCTAGGTACGACATGTAGACATAGGAGCA